TTATTTAGCCAGGAGTCAGCCACAGCAGGCTCAGGGTAGGTCACTTATTTAGCCAGGAGTCAGCCACAGCAGGCTCAGGGTAGGTCACTTATTTAGCCAGGAGTCAGCCACAGCAGGCTCAGGGTAGGTCACTTATTTAGCCAGGAGTCAGCCACAGCAGGCTCAGGGCAGGTCACTTATTTAGCCAGGAGTCAGTCACAGCAGGCTCAGGGCAGGTCACTTATTTAGCCAAAACAAGGCAACAAGACAGAGGCGTGGCAACAGGAAAGACAAGGCAAGCAACTGACGGCAGTATAGCACAATAACAAATCTGATTTGGGTGTTTTTCACAAAAGTGAAAATAAAGGACTTGCGTTCAATAAATTCATTGATATCATTAATTGATGCTATTAATTTAGATTTCAGGCTAAAGTTATGGTAATACATGTTACCGTGCTGGGGGAGGGGGACTCGGGGGGGGCCCCATGGAATTTTTTTTGCCTTGGGGCCCCAGAGTCCGGAAGAATCGTTGCTGGGTACAGAGAGGAGAGTCGGCCAGGACCTGGAGTGTGAAGGAGGGCAGAGTCTCAAAGGCTCACAGTGGCTTTCAGCGTGCGAGATGTTAGCAGAAATAGGAAGACGGCCACACCAGTGCATCCATTCTGCTTTTGCTTTATTTACATGCCTTGCGCTCTTGTCCACAGCAGTGTACATGGTCAGCGGGGGGGGAGTCAGTACAAAGTGACACCTCCCAAGAAGATACGCAGTCCTGCTGGATGAAGTACGACTGGCTACGTGAATGTATGGCGTGCGATCAGCACCAACACTGCAGCGGAGAGCTCAGGGGCACATAAAGGAGCAGTGGATTTCCTATCATCATCCAATATTACAGGGAAATTTCAACATATCAAACATATTTGCATATTTTTTATAATACTATATAACTGCAAGTATAACCCACTATAATATAAAACTGATTGCAAGTATTTTACACATGCACACCTTTGGACAAGCGATGTCATTTTGTTGAAAAGTGTTGTCATTTAAAATGAGTAACAAGTAGTTTTACAAAGACTTAAAGAATGACAGAAAACATGGTACCTTCACTGTAGGTCACCTCAGATCAATAAGGAAACCAAGTGAATGCTGAGGATTTTCCAGGATTTATTCATATGAAGCTGTACTGACAATGAACATAACGCCTGGTCAACAAACAGCCAGCGCATGGAAACATCCGGTATTAAATTAAAACGAAAATGAAGCGGTGATAGTATAGCAAACCAAGTGTGTGTTATGAACCATGACATGATACTGGTTGCACTTAAAATGTGGGGGAATCGGGGCACGTTTGTGAACACGGCACAATTACGGCTGCCAATTTTGGGGTGGGGTTGTTCCGTGTTCCCCAGCGGGCATAGGATGGCCAAGGGGACAAATGGAACGGACCTTCTTACTAAAAGTGCATCCCATCTGACAGCCCCGTATAACCATCCTCATTAATAACTGTGAAACGTACAGGTGTAGAGGCGCTGAGCCGCGATGGACTGAGATAAAGGCTCTGGTGTTACGCGTGTGGTGCTGCCGGCCTACTGGGCCTGGCTGGTGCCCAGCCCCACCGCGTTCGCATACGCTGACAGCAGGCTGACGATCTGCCGCGTCTCCAGCGTCAGCCGTGCCTCCGTCAGCCAGTCCCGTGCCACCCTGCGAGGCTCGCCCGTCAGCTGGTTCATGAACTTGGCTGCCAGCTCCAGGTCACCGCGCTCGATGCAGTAGGTGGCATACGAGAGCAGTCTGAAGGTATCCAGGTCGGCGGGGGTCAGCTTGTCCGGGGGGGGCAGCTGCTCTTGCTCGAAGAGCAGGAGTGACTGCAGGTAGGACAGGAAGTACTGGTACAGGCTGTTGCGCGTCTCGTCGATCATGGCGACGCGGCGCACCAGCTTGCGGATGCTGTAGAAACGCGCGCGCAGGGAGGCCTCGCTGAACACGCCGCGCTGCAGCGACTCGGAGGGCAGCGCCGTGGTCAGCACCTGGGCAAACTCGTTCTCACTGCAGCTGTCCCGCACGGCCTTTACCGCGCCCTCCAGGGGCTCTGTGGGGGTGTCGGCCCCCGCCGTCTTCAGGGTGTAGTTCAGAGCCTCTACGGACAGCCACAGCTGGTGGGCTTTCCGGGCCTGCTCCTCTGCCGTGGCATGGCCTGTGGGGAGGGGGAGTGACATCACTGCCTGATAGGAGCCACATCCACAAGGCCCCACCCACAATGTCTCATCCACACAGCCCCACCCACAAGGCCCCACCCACACAGCCACACCCACAAGGCCCCATCCACACAGCCACACCCACAAGGCCCCACCCACAATGTCTCATCCACAAGGCCCCACCCACAGTGTCTCATCCACACAGCCACACCCACCCAAACCCCACGTCTCCCAGAGCAACCATACAACTCGATAAGGGTGCCTTTAAGCCAAATCAAACATGTAACCAAAAATTTAATCATTCGAAATTTGGTTCTACTGGAAGGCATTTTTTTTGTTATTGCTGCTGTTTCTAAGGAATTTCCCCATTGTGGGATTAATAAAGTCAATCTAATCTAATCTAATTTGCAGGCCAATGCTTCAGATAATAACAGACAGACCCCGATCAAATCCATCACAGGCAGAATAAAGCCCTTCCTCTCTCTGTCACAGTGCTGAGCCCCCATCCAGGAAGCAGTGTGAGCCAGGAGACATGCACCCCCCCCCCCCCCAGAGGCTGAGCAGCACACTCACTGTCAATGGCGTCCTCCAGACCCTTCAGCCTGGCATAGGCCTCGTTCATGTCCATGGTGAACTGGTCCAGCTGGTCCTGGTTGGCCCGCCGGAACTCAGTCTCTTGCGCCATGATTTTTCTGGTCAGTGTCTAGGGCAGGGGGGGGTGACAGGGGTCAGTGATTAGTACCTGACGGAACGCCGGGATCTCAGACGGAACGCCGGGATCTCAGACGGAACGCCGGGATCTCAGACGGAACGCCGGGATCTGAGACGGAACGCCAGGATCGTGAGCACACTGCCGACGGGGGCCTGGGGTGCCAGCGGCTGCTCGGGGGGGGGGGGGGGGCACCCACCTCCTGGGCCTCGGCCCGGAGCTCCAGCTCCTGCACCTTCAGCACGTCACGCAGGTGGTCCGTGTGCGCGGCAGCCTGCCTGCGCAGCTGCGTGCGCATCTCCGCCTCCATCACCTCCCGGACCTCCTCCACCTGCAGCAGACAGCCTCAGCTCATTCCAGGGGACACACGTCATGCCAAGAGCTGAAGGCTGCGGTTTTGCTCAGTGTTTAGTCTTTCATATGTTTCTACTTTCTGGAGGAACAGTCTCTAAAATATGTTCCATATTTGAAAACAGTCTAAAGTAATTCTAGTGTCATTGCACTGCAAGACCACCTGGTGGCGCCAGTCACAGACCTTCCTGTTCTGCTCAAGGTGCAGCTCCTCATGGTGGCGCTCCAGTGCTGTGGCCACGGCCTTGTCCAGCGCCTTCTTGTCGTCCTGGCGCTGCTGCTTGAGCGCAGCCTCGATGTGGAGCTGCTCACGGACTCGCTGCTCAGCCAGCTCGTGGTTCAGCTGGTCGATGCGCCGATGCGCGTGGGCTATCAGTGAATTCAGGTCATCCGGGGTCAGCTTGCCTGCTGGACCAGAGAGCATGTCTGCTCAGGGCGGCCGGGAACTGCTGCAAACAGGCTCCGCTTTGCATTCACGCCAGGAGGAGCAGATTCATGTTCATTCACTGCATTTTTTCCAGTGTTCACTGCATTTCTGAGTGCACTGCTCATACAATCTAACAGGCATGATTTGATTCGGTTTAGAGTGGTAGCTGGTGGTCACGCCTGAAGACATGTGAGCTTTTGGTCAACAAAACAACCTCAAGCCAACTTGGGCAGGCTACTGGATTTGAGAGAGTGAGTCAAAGAATTGGGACACGGTCACTCAGGTGTTCCCCAAATAAGGTGGAATCCCGAACAGACCACTGGCCTCCCTCACAGTGTAAGAAGATGCCGGCAGCTCCTGTGTCTTCAGAGCAGAAACGAGAGCTCGATGCTCAGAATGGGATGCAGAGTGATACACGGTGGGGATTACGTCATGGGCGAAACCAGCAGGTGGCAGCACACGCACACACAGAGCGAGCCACCATGGCCAATCAAAGACCACGAGGAACACAGCCAAGACCCACCCTGTTACCAGTGTTTACAAGAACCAGCTCAGATTCAGACCCTCTTCACGGTGCTTATATTTTTACCAGTAAGGACACAAGTTTCCAAAAGATGACCTACTAGAGTCAGAATCAGCTGTAAGTCCTACTAAAAGTTCAAATAAACAACCGTAGATACATGTCCATCGTAAAGCATGACTCTGTACTCATGCATTGTGGGTATCCCCTCAGAAAACGGCCAACACCGCAGGCTCGGATAGACATCATCTTGGCTGTACTTAATCAGCCTGGTGAATTACCGTAGCGTGTGGGGGGAGGGAGGGTTCAGCGGGCACTGAATGACGCTCGGCTGCTCAGGGGACGCCTACTGGTGTTGGGGGGGGTCTCTGCAAAGCCGGCAGTCCGGCCAGGTTTCAGGACAGCACTGTCACCTCATAGCACCCTGGATGGGGGTCTGATCTGTCCCAGTATTTATGGATATCTGCCTATAGCCCTACACCTAACGACAGGCCTGGGGGGGTCACTCCTAAATGGACTAGCAATTAGTGAAGAAGAATAGATGGATGGATGATGAAAGAGAATGAATGACTAGCAATTATCTTGCTGTCCTAACATAGGAGTCATTAATTCCTAGCTACTGGAAATACATGTAAACTTCCACAGTTCATAATCTAGTACCACACTGCTAGTCTTCAGTTACCCATTACCAGTTTAATGACAAAAATTTCAAATGCCATGCGGGACACATCAGCATGAGGTTAAAGACACGCTGACAACCATAAGGCTTTTGCCGAGACCCAGCGAGCCGTGCAGCTTCTAACCGCAGCCTGAATTTAATTAACTAGTCCTCACAGGTAACTGATCGCAGGTAACCGGCATCAAATTCCCCGATTAAGTACGCTGCACAGGCTCTGTCTCGTGCCAGGAAGGTGCTGTGCCTTTAAGACGACATGAAGCAAAGCCTGATGGGGCGGGAGAGGGATCGCCATGACGACAGGGAGCTAGCAGAGCATGAGTGCAAACGGGAGGACGGCCCGGGGCCCACTCACCTACGTCAGACAGCTCTGCAACAGAAAGGGAAGGTGCAGAGAGGTTAGCGCCCACATGTGGCAGAACAGCACAAGGACGACCCAGCGGCCGCTGGGCCACGGTGCCAACTGACCTAACAATGTCTGCTTGGAAGCCTGTCTTATTCCAACGCTGCAGGACCCTGAGTGAGTCTGACCTCAGTTTACTGTAAATACGCTGTGAATGACTGGTTATCCAGTCAGATTTAGCTTCAGGCTGCCCTGTAAGACTCAAATATTCCTTTTAATTGAAGAACAAAAACTATTGAATTTGAGGGGTTGTAAACTTTTAGTTAAATGTCTGCTTTTATTAATAAATTAGCAGCTTATAGTAGAAACCGCATAATCCTGCTAAATATCTCCTCTTAGAGGACGTCCCACGTATCACACAGCTAAGCGATGGACAACAGCAAGTCACAGCCTGATATCACTGCTGTGTCCTTCATTATCTTCCCCTGCTGCCAGACAAACTGATGACAGGATCTTCCTCGCATGAACGACGATACATGCACAAACCCCAACAGGATGCCAGTATACGGCCCTCAGAAACACTAGGGAAAGGCACATTAAACAGAACTGGGAAAGTGGCTGACGTTAAACCACTTAAACAGCACTAACACTCTTCTGTGTGGCCAGATTGTATATGTGAAGAACATTAACCTTTTCCAAAAGTGTTATTACTGCTTTTGTATCCTCTAAACATTTTTACAGCTTTCTAATTTTAGCATTAAAAAATAAATTTGTCATGTTTTATCATATCGGTGTTCAGACTTATAACTGGACCAAAAAAATCTATGCTGCATAGGGGCTGGTAAGGCAGTCCACCAGCCAGCAGGGGGAGCCGTCGCAAACTTACTGAGGCCCTTCCAGCCTGCCTGGACATCGGGCGTGATGCTGCTCAGCTCCTTCTGAAACTGCTTCTTCGCTTCGCCCACCAGCTCGCTGTACTGGGACACAATTTTCGCCTCCGTCTGGGCTGACTGCACCTGCGGCGACAAGACCGAAGGAGTCACTGCAGGCATCCTGAGAAACGAGTCACTGCAGGCATCCTGAGAAACGAGTCACTGCAGGCATCCTGAGAAACGAGTCACTGCAGGCATCCTGAGAAACGGATTGCAGTGCGCCACTGGGAGGGCAGCAGTGTTCACCAGGCCAGGTCTGTCCTGATTCTCTCACTGACTAAATTGCACTATTATCTAGAGATGCACCGATACCGATATTCGGATCGGTATCGGCGCCGATCCAGACCTATTTGACGGATCGGGAATCGGCCATGCGTGACCGATCCACGTCCTATACTTACTTATTTAGTTTTTGGCAATCAATCGCACGACAGCTCTTTCCCATTCTACATGTTTTTTTTTTAGCGGAATTCAAATCGAACGCTATCACTGCCCCTAAGTA